TCTCAACCCTGTGTTAGATCCTCTTGTTTGATATGAGATGGATACAAGCCATACTGGTGCGCTTACCGATTTGCAGTAATGGCCTTGTGCAGCTGGTGGTTTTTGAGCTTTACCTCTGGCTTTATTAGATCACAGCTGTGTATTGGCCAGCCTGGGCTTTTGTTTTTGAAAGGAGGCCAATATTAGTTTGTTTCTCATTGGGAAGATATGCAAATAAACAGTTATTTAGATTTTGAAAGCAGACAGAATAATGCAGACATGTGGGTTGTCTCCGATGGTACCAGAACTGATGAAAATATTTATTCCATTTGCTACTGGCTTAATAGTTGGTCTGGCAAGTTGTAGGGCCAGTATTTCTGGATTCTCACCCTTTACACACCTAGGTAGAGCACCTGTGGCAAATGGGCAAAATTGGCATTTTTGGTTGCATCCAGTTCAACACATATGCCATGGTATGAATTTTTGCCACATTAGCCTAGAATATATGTGATTACCTATCTTTACCCTTGACTCATGCATGTTGGTGGCTTTCTTTTTTCGCCTACTGAACGTTCTCTGAGGATCAAGTTTGGCACTGCATTGATTAAGAGAATGCATTTTGGAAGAAGGGAAGAATCATGACAATTATTTATAATGCCTAATCATTTCATCTCAAGGTGCCATGCATCTTGATAAAAGTTTCCCTCTGAAATGCTCTGCAGTAAATCTCTGTGTCAAGAGGCAAGTCAGTGAAGCTGTGTGTGTGTGTGTATGTGTGTGTGTATACCTGTGTGCACATACCTAGTGGGAGGTGGGGAGTAGAGAAGAGAGAGAGAGAAAGGAAGATAAGGAGGTGGGGAAAGAATTAATCTTTCTTAGTACTCTAAAAGAGGGCTGTTCCGGCTTCTTGGTTATCATGAGACAAGAGGCTCATTTCTTTTTGCTGATGAATTTCAATTGTAATTACAGGGCATTAGTGAGCCACATTAAGTCTCAAGGGCTGGACCAAAAATACACTATCTGCAAAAGCCGTTTGAATTCTCTCTGAAATACCTAGTAGCCAAATCTGAATGCAATTTGTGAACAGATACAAATTGTTGCTGGTTGTCCATTCAAGTTAGATGTTTCTCTACAATGCTAAGGGCCACGTTCTAAAAGTGAAATGAAATGGCCTGTGGCTGGATCCACCGTAACTTGCAAGTTTCTGCTGTGTTGCAGAAGTGAACGACAACAGTTAAACTCGAAAGATCAACAGTTTTTCGATTGGGTTCCTAGAGAATAATGGCTCTTTTGTACAATTCTTGAAATAGAGCCTACAGCCGCCCCAAACAAAATAGTCTCTTTCAAGATCTTGGAAATAATGACCTCATAGGCAGATTGAACCAGCAATCCATTAATAGTATCCTTTGTAAAATGCTGTCTCAGAGGAGGGACCTGGCTTAGTAAATCAGCACTGTTTACAAACATAGCAGAATAGAATCCCCCTTTTTTCTATGTTTGTGGAAGAGTCGGAGACACCTCCCACTTGGGAAACAAATACATTAATAGCAGGGCTTCCTTACAGGTCCCTACCCTTTCTCCATCGGTCATCTGAAAGTGTGCTTTGAAGCACTTGATCTGAAGGTGAGTTAAAGATAAAAAGAGCCTCCTGCACTATTCCTCCGTCACCAACTCAGAGTTATGTGGAATCATTAGAAGATGAAGGTTGGTCGTGCCGTGTAAAGGGTAAAGAAGGACTGACGTAATGTCACGATAATTTGAGCAAAACCAAATCTGAAATGTCTAGGTAAACGAAGCGATCATTTGCTTCATGTTCCTATTGTGAAATCAGACAAAGATTCTTCAATTCCATTTCCACTTCTGCAAAAGAGGTTTTATAATCCCCTGAGGGGTGAATGGAATTAAAACAATTCCAGTTTGCTGGACAGTAGAAAGATGTGCCATCTAGGCTGGGTTCCTTGCAGAATGGACCACAGCAAGTGTGTGGTGTTCAAATTTGGGGCAGACATTTCTGGTCTAGTAGAGGAGAGTGTAGTGTGAGTTTTACATACCAAGGAGCCCTGAAAAGAAGCAGGGCATCTACCTTTCGAGTCTCCAGCCAGAGAGAGTAATTAGGAACAGAAAAGGCCACTGTTAGCCACACCTAATTATCCAGAACAAAGGAGCCAGTCTTTTGAATTACGTAGGTGCACTAGAACCCTGCCTGGCCCAGACTCCTATTTGCCTTATTCGGTAAGGTCAGCTTTGGATAGCATTTTAAAGAGGCCATGCGTGTTTCTCTGACTTCTGTCTTCTCCAGTTAAATAATATGTCATCAGATAATACGTATCATCCAGAATATGGTGGCTCTCTCTCCCTGTGAGACACATCTTTCAGAAACTTATCTTCTAGGTATTTCTATTTACATCCTCAGTGCTTTTGCAATAACTTTCAAATTTCATTATTTTTACCAACCTTGGTTTTGTATATTTGAGCTTTACTTAATAATCACGTCACATTCAGGTGTTATTTTTGAACCCAGAAAAGTAAAATGACAAAACACAGAGAGAGAGAGAGAGAGAGAGAGAAATTCTTATTTCGAGTGGTATATTCTTCTTAGTGACTAAATTAAAACAGTGAAAAATTCAAAAGGACACACACACCCCAATGTTCATAGCAGCACTATGTACAATAGCCAAGACATAGAAACAACCTAAATGTCCATCAGCAGATGACTGGATAAAGAAGATGTGATACATATATACAATGGAACACTACTCAGCCGTAAAAAAGAATAAAATAATGCCATTTGCAGAACTATGGATAGACCTGAAGATTGTCATTCTTAGTGAAGTGGGCTGGAAAGAGAAAGAAAATGCTGTATGACATTGTTTATATGAGGAATCTAAAAAAATAATAATAATGACATAAATGAACTAATTATTATTTTGATTTCTTGAATATGTGTAAGCACATTTGACTGTCCTTTATGACTAGATTACCGCATTCTGTTGATTCTTATTTTGTAGTTGGCTTTATTCCTATGTAAGTTTAAAAGCTAAAGATCTAATCTGTTCTTAGAAACAATAATTAGTACATATATGTAAACTAAAAAATGTGCAATATACTGTATATACGTATTTACATGCAATATAATGTGTATGTGCAGTCAAACTATAATAATTCTAACTAAAAAATGAACCTGTTTGATAGAGAATACCACTGTTGAAGTCAGTCTTAAATTCTGTTTTCTTCTGGAGAAAGAATGAATTTAGAAGGACCAAAATCAAAATGCAAAAGAGAATATAGACACATTAGGGCTGGTTTTATATGCTGGTTAAAATATTTACCAGAAGTATCTGTGAATATACTTGATCCTTGACATCACAGTTGCTTTTTCATGTTACCTTTTGCTATAGCTTCACCCATATAGGAAAACGTGAGACTTAAGTTGTTGGTGGTGTTGCCAAAATACTTATGACTGAACATTTTCACTGTCATGATTCCTGAAAAAGGTACAAAATTGATCTTAATTCATTAAGATAATGCAAGGCATAAGACAGGCAAAGGAAAAGATAACTTGTCCAAATCAAGGTTAAGCCAGTCATTGTTAATTGGCAGTCACCTGTGCAGATGGAGAAACTATCAATTGCTACTCACCTATTTATTCTTGAATACTTGCAGGCTCTGTACACTGGGGAAAATTTGAAACATAGTATGCAGTTTTTACAAAAAGTCTCCACATGACATAATGGAACTTAGAATTCATTACTGAAAATAATAAACACGTTGTAACCACTAAAGGGCTGAAAATTATGATAGATTATTTCTCACTGTAGCAGGTAACCGGGAGACCTCTGTTTTTGTTGTTGTACTTAGGCTTGTTTATAGTAAATGTTATTGGGATACAGTGATAGGCCAAGTTGTGTTTGGAGAGCTCTTATACTCCTAAATTAGTGCCAGTTGATACTTGATGAAATTAGAGATTTTGTTGCAGTGGTATTTGCTTCTGCTTGTATTCAAACTGGAGATTCACTTGGAAGGTTCTCTTAACACCTGACTTCTGATGGCAAGTGTCAGACCCTGACTGGCAGGACTTGCATTCTAGTGGGAGAACAGCTGGAAACAGAAACAGATCCCTGGGGAGTCAGTGCTTTTCTAGTTCACTTTACCCTCCAGTGGGATGAAACCTGAATGTATTCATCCCGAACACAAGATACTAAAGAATGATAAAATGAAGAGCAGATAAGTTGCTAAAACCCAGATTGGTTCTTATAGCCCTGTTATCCCTGTCAGCTCCCTTGTTTCCTGTTCCAGGGCATAAAATATGACAAGGAGTAAGGTTTTGATGTCGCCTCTGGAAGTGATCTTCTCGTTAGAGCTCCTCTTTGCTCCTGGTGACATTTGGCTTTGCTTTATCTTCTACCTGCTTCTTGAAGGTGGGGCATTGTTTCCCCTAGCAGTTCACCCCAACTCTGCTGAAACTACCAGGTTTATGAGATTGTTTCTCAGTTCCTCCTCATAAAACAATAAGAGTGTGTTTTAGCAATCGGGTCCACACAGGTGAGAATCAGATGCCAAAGTCATCCCAGTGTCAAAGCGACTAACACGTCATTGTTGTGGGTCACTCAAAATCAACAGTCAGGCCTGTGTCAACTGAAGACTTCAAGGAGGTGGTGCTACCTGACCGTGATGATCATCAGGATAGAATGTTTAGAGAAGAACGATTGTCAATTGTTCATTAAAAGACTGTGAGTGGACCATAGAAAATAGAATTTCATTGTGAGAAAAGGAAGGGACTTTAGGTACTTGTGGTTACATATTGAAAAGCCATTAATTATTGCCCACGCTTTCCTCTGCGAAATTGCACCACTGGTCTTTAAGGAGGCAGCTCCATTCTTTCTAGAAAAGAAACCCCTCAAAACGGTCAACACAAAACCTAAGACAACATGAGACCCAGGCTTTTGTTTTGAAGATATTAGACTCTTATAGATTGTTTTTTTTTAGCCCTCTCCTAACTTCTGTTTTCTCCTCCTCTTTAGGAGCTGTGCAGTCAGTTGTAACTGAAAATGTCTGACAGTCTGGATAATGAAGAGAAACCCCCAGCTCCCCCACTGAGGATGAACAGTAACAACCGGGACTCTTCGGCACTCAACCACAGCTCCAAACCACTTCCCATGGCCCCTGAAGAGAAGAATAAGAAAGCCAGGCTTCGCTCTATCTTCCCAGGAGGAGGGGATAAAAGTAAAGTATCAGTGGCCGGGCATTGAAAGGGGCTAGTTGATTCTTTCCTTGTCTCTTTCTTTCTTGAGTAGTCATTTCTTGAGTGTTGGATGTTCAGGGCCTGCCTGACCTTTTTCATCTGCATCTTCAGAGGTTGCATTTTGTCAGAGGGTAATGTTTGATTGACTTACTGTGGGTTTGCAGAAGATACACTTATGCTATATTTGCTTTTCCCATAAAATTGAATTCATAGCATTAAGCCAGGGGAAATCATAGCAACAGTACCGTCTTAAGTATATAAATAGTGACTTTCATTCTCATAAGTTAAAGGAGAATTTATAGTCATCCTTTTCTAACTGTAAGTTGTCCTTATTAGATATTTGAGTATAGGTGAATTTACTTCTGTATACACTTTTGACAACCATGAAAATTTTGAATTGAGTATACGGGAGTCAGTCCAAGTGCCACGCTGTTGTCTCTCTGACTATATCGCAAGGTGGAAAGAAACTTCTGACTCATTTGTTTCCTCTCCTGTTTTTCTGCCAGTCGTCCCCTACACAACCAGCCCTTTTTGCACTGAGTATCACAACAGTATATTATCATTTATCCTTGTGTTGTGCATAATACCATTTGGTCCTTAAATATCACATGCTGACACTCTGTAACACTGGGGGAATATAAAATCTCTAGTAAGTAATTGTCAGGTTGCATGAATAAGCATAAAGCTTAAACATGGCTTCTATAAACGTGACCGTTGCAGTGGAAGAGAGTGAAACCAAGAACAAGGACTCTGGCACCAGAGAAAGTTGCCAAAATGGCAAGAAGGGTGATGTCTTTGGAAGAGAAAAGGGACAGTTTTGATCTGCTTCTTCAAGGTAAAACAAATAGCTTTGTAGGTTACTTATATGGTATTAGTGAGTTTGTACCATAAGGAAAGCTGAAACTCTTATTAGGGCCAGTATCACCTCTTGTACACCTGCATCACCTTAGAGATGCTTGATCCCTCATGACCCAAGGATGGAGAAGATGGAAATGATGTTAAACCTCTGGACTGAAAACAAGCAAAGGAAATAAGAAAACACTTTCCATGCAAGGGACATGTGATCACAGAATTTTCAAAGACATGTTTTCAGACACCAAAGTGGGTTCCAAAGAAAATTTTGCCAGGAGCAAGGGATGGTTTGAGAAATTTATGGTGCACCATGACTTGGAGACCAAGTCTTATGTGACAGTGGTACCAAAGAAGGAGCCACTAGATCCTGCAACTCCTGTGTTGTATCTGCCACAACTGCAGAAAATGACTGAAGAGAAGGACCATATTTCTACACTAATCTTAGATGCTGTTGAGACCACCATGCTTTGAAAGCCTTGAACAATCCTACTTGCCTCTTAGAAGAGCAGGAACCAACCGATGCTGACGTGAGGTAAGCCAAAACAGAGAGGCTGCCATTTCTGGTTTTTTGCCAATACTCCAGGTGACCTCATAGTGAAATCAATACTGCTCTGCAGAAAAGTATGCCCAAAATCTCCAAGGAAAAAACTGAGCTTAGTTTCCAGTATGCTGGCATGCAAACAGAAAGACTCCTTCTCTCCTTAAGGAAGGGTTTGAAGAGTGCTTTCTTGTGGAAATTCGGGACTGCTTCAAAATATCTTGAATTCAAAGTCCTATTGATTCTTCACTGTCCATTTGGTGCCTCAGATACATTTGCCAATGGGTAAATGTTAGGCTTAATGTTAAGTTTGTCTTTATAACCAGCTGCACGTTTCGGATTCTTGAGCCCTTAGATCAGTGTTTGAACTGGCCATTCAAGAAGACTTCAGCCAAACTAATGTATAATGTTGTTCTTCAGAATCTCACAAAGATTCCTCTGCCTGAAGATCTTAGTGCATGGGATTCCTACACCATCACTAATGCTGTATTCTTAATGAAAGAGGCATTAGATATCTTAACAGAGCCTTTTGTTAATGTGACCTTGGAGATTTGGCTGGAGAGGGTGAAATATCTGTCAGTGATTTTTCCTGAAGATAGACTCTTTGGATCAAGAACCACCTATGGTTGAGGATGAACATTTGGCTCAGGAGCAATCACTGGCTGAAGTTGAATCAGAACCTGTTGATGCTGATTCCGGTGATGTGATGTGCTAGAGGATGACTGCCAGGAAACTCCTGGGACCCCAGAGGTGATTATCATAAGTGATGATGAAAATAATTAGGAAGCTGTGACACTGGAGATGAATACAGTTATAAGCAACTGGAGAAAATCTTTTAGAATGAGATTAAAACCTCCCCAAGAAAGTAATGAAGAAATTCGGTACTATTACGTGTCAAATCGTACCTGTTCAAAGCTTGAGTTATTTAGCAGAATTCCATAAAGAGGTGCTATGATGCCTTCAAAACAAATCACATTGGAGAGAGACCATCTTCAGCAGAACTTAAATTGGGTA